CACAGAGCAGTTGAGCTCATTGTAAATGGCAGGTGGCGTTTCTGGTCGGCCTAGGCATCAGCGCAACGCACCATCAGAGCAATTGCTCGAGTTCGGTCTCTCCAACAGGTGAACCGTCGCAGACATGATGCTGATGAAGTTGACGACGTGGACGTGGATTTGTGTTAACATGCGAGTTTCAAGAAGTGGGTGGATACCGTATCCGAATTTGAACGTGCACTGTTGAGTGTTTTCCGCAATGGGGCCGTGACCTCAGACACGCGGGGGCGCACGGGATGTCCATGCAAGTGCCGTGGCCACCTCGCGCCATCCTTCAGACACTACTGGTCGGAGTGTCCGCGCTGGCGACGGGAACGAGAAGCTAGTCAACTTCGGTTGTTATTGCCGGCTGGGTTCTGGACATCTGTCCCTCGCGTGACCTCAAACTCTGGTTGGATATGCTATTCGCAGGCTGATGACCGCGGCGATCGTGTTCGAATGTTGCGTGCTGCGACATCAGTACATCAACGTGTGCTGACTGATCCCAGCCCGATGGTGTCTATGCGACGTCGTCAATGACTTGGTGACCACCAGTTTCTATAGCACACATGTGAGCGTCTACCTCATCTGATAGGTTGTCGTTCTTCCATATTTGATATCGTTGTCTTAGTAGTAGTAGGAGTGGTTTTCCAGAAGACAAGTAGCTGTCGCAGCAATAGATGCAGCAGTAACAGCCAGTGGATCAGTTTTCGTAGTAGTACTCGTAGTAGTATATGTAGCCGTACTAGAATAGTAGTAGTCGTAGTAGTAGTAGTAGTAGTAGTAGTCGTCGTCGTTGTTGTAGTAGTAGTAGCAGCAGCAGTAGTAGTAAAGGCAGGAATTGTAGTCATAATCGTAGTCGTATTAGTAGTCGTCGGTGTCGTAATTTTCGCAGTCGTAGTAACAGCAATCGTCGTACTAGTAGTCGTAGTAGCACTAGTAGGTTTAGTAGTAGTAGTAGTAGTCGTCGTCGTCGTCGTCGTCGTAGTAGTAGTAGTAGTAGTAGTGGTGGTTGCGGTAGTAGTGGTAGTAGTAGTAGTAGTAGTAGTAGTAGTAGTAGTAGTAGTAGTAGTAGTAGTAGTAGTAGTAGTAGTAGTAGTAGTAGTAGTAGTAGTAGTAGTAGTAGTAGTAGTAGTAGTAGTAGTAGTAGTAGTAGTAGTAGTAGTAGTAGTAGTAGTAGTAGTAGTAGTAGTAGTAGTAGTAGTAGTAGTAGTAGTAGTAGTAGTAGTAGTAGTAGTAGTAGTAGTAGTAGTAGTAGTAGTAGTAGTAGTAGTAGTAGTAGTAGTAGTAGTAGTAGTAGTAGAAGTAGTGGTAGTAGTAGTAGTAGTAGTAGTAGTAGTAGTAGTAGTAGTAGTAGTAGTAGTAGTAGTAGTAGTAGTAGTAGTAGTAGTAGTAGTAGTAGTAGTAGTAGTAGTAGTAGTAGTAGCGTAGTAGTAGTGGTAGTAGTAGTAGTAGTAGTAGTAGTAGTATAGTAGTAGTATATAGTAGTAGTAGTAGTAGTAGTAGTCGTAGTCGTAGTCGTAGTAGTCGTAGTAGTAGTAGTTCAGTAGTAGCAGTAGTAGAAGTAGTCGTAGTAGCGTAGTCTAGTAGTAGTAGTAGCAGTAAGCAGTAGTAGTAGTAGTAGTAGTCGTAGTCGTAGTAGTAGTAGTAGTAGTAGTAGTAGTAGTAGTAGTAGTAGTAGTAGTAGTAGTAGTAGTAGTAGTAGTAGGAGTTAGTAGGAGTAGCGGAAGGAGTAGTAGTAGTAGTAGAGTAGTAGTGCAGTAGTAGTAGTAGTAGTAGTAGTAGTAGTAGTAGTAGTCGTAGTAGTAGTAGTAGAGTAGTATAGTAGTAGTAGTAGTAATAGTAGTAGTAGTAGTTAGTAGTAGTAGTAGTAGTAGTAGTAGTAGTAGTAGTAGTTAGTAGTAGTAGTTAATCGTAGTGTAGTCGTCGTAGTAGTCGTAGTGTAGTAGTAGTAGTAGTTAGTAGTAGTAGTAGTAGTAGTAGTAGTAGTAGTAGTAGTAGTAGTAGTAGTAGTAGTAGTAGTAGTAGTAGTAGTAGTAGTAGTAGTAGTAGTAGTAGTAGTAGTAGTAGTAGTAGTAGTAGTAGTAGTAGTAGTAGTAATCGTAGTAGTAGTCTTCGTAGGAGTAGGAGTAGGAGTGGGAGTGGGAGTGGGAGTGGGAGTGGGAGTAGGAGTAGGAGTCAAGCTAGCCAGCTCGAGCGAGTCAAGCATGGCATGCCCAGTCCCACCCGCCCTCCCACAACATAAGAAGCAAAGCTGGCACAACTGGGGGCCGAAGTCACACCGGCCAGCCGGTTTGGTACAGCTGATGCGGCCGCGATGGCGGTTGCCGACGGGAACTGGCGAGCGCGTGTTGAATGCCGCGCACGCATTGCCAGACGAGTCGAGAATGGCCCGGTACACCGCAGGAAGCCAGAGGTGGCCGGAGGAAGCCCGACGGTCTGACAGGACACCCCAAAGCATTTTTGTGAAAAAGCATTGGGTTTTTGATGTTTTTATGTTGAAATGCTTGCAAACACACGGTGTTCGGTAGGATTCTGACATGAACGCGCGAGTGTGCTCTTTGTGGTATTTTTTGCACAGGATTCGCGGCCTGGGTGCATGACAGAGCATCGCGAGTGCACCGCGCGATGACGTGAAATCGCTGGATTTGACAGAATTCTTAAGATTCCTATGGTTTTCCTATGATTTCAGCAAGAGAGCCCGGGCGGGAAATTTGTACAATTTTTGTGAAAAAGCATTGGGTTTTTGATGTTTTTATGTTGAAATGCTTGCAAACACACGGTGTTCGGTAGGATTCTGACATGAACGCGCGCGTGTGCTCTTTGTGGTATTTTTTGCAATGGATTATCGCCGTGGACGACAGGACGTCCATGTCGAGAGGAAAAAATAAGAAGCATGTTGATTTTGTATTGTTTTTACAGGTTAGGATGGGACCACCCGGATGCGCCCGCTATCTGCCGGCCTGAGGGGGGAGTAGGAGTATATTCTAATAAGGAATAAGGATAATAGTAGGAGCAGAAGTCGAAGTAGTAGTTAGTAGGGCAATCCGTGGTCCATGTCCTGCTTTCGGAGGACCTTGCGGCCTTTGGAGTCTTCGGAGTTCTTGACTGGCACTGCGAGTTTTGTTGATTTCTCGGAGTTCTCAGGATTGTGGGGGTTTCATGGTTTCTTGGGCTTTGGTGGGGTTCCTCCAGGTTCCTCCAGACTTTTCAGGGATCGTCCAGATTCGTCACTACGCACAAGGTTTTCTCATGATTCTTCTGGATGTTGCATGATCCTTGAACTTGAAGATGCTGCACGAATCCCCGAGACTCCTTGAGGTACCTGAGGGTCTCGGGATTTCTCAGGATTCCCGAGTGTTCCGCAGGGTGCAGACAGGACCCAGGCGGGGCCAGGGCCTAAGGCTCAAGGCTCAAGTCCCAGGACTCACGTCCTAGGGCATGGAGCCCAGGATTCAGAGCTCAGTGTTCAAAACGCGGGGCCCAGCGCTCAGGGCCTAGGGCTCAGGGCCCGGGGCTCAGGGCTCAGAGCCCAGGGTACAGGGCGCGGGGCACAAGGCACGGAACCCAGGGCTAGGGCTCAGGGCACCGGGTGCAGGGTTGAGGACCCAGGGTTCGAAGCCTCAGGGTTCAGGACCCAGGGCTCAGGGCTCAGGACTCAGGATCCCATGTGGGAGCAACTGGGGCTCTGAAGGATTTCTCTGCCGACTGGGTCTTGCTCTTTTTTTATTGGGATCCTATTGGCGAGCAATTAGGAATCTGAGGCAATTGTCTGGCGGTTGGGATCAGCTCTAATTTTTTGTAACAAATCAACATGGAGTCTTATCGAAGAGGAACTTGGAGTCTGAGGAAATCCTCTGGCGGCTGGGATCTGGTCCGTTATATCAGGATCCTATGGGGGATATGTAGGGAATGTGATGGATTTCTCTGCCGTGTGGGACCTGCTCCAGTTGTATCGGGGTCCAATTGGGGAGCAAGTCGTAATCAGAAGACACTTTCTGGCGGTTGGGGGTTGGTCGTCAAGGGGGAAAAATTGGAAAGCAGTTGGAAATCTCTCGCCGATCCACGATTCAGGCAACCCGATTGGCGGCGGGGGTAGTAGGGTTCGGAATTCGCCGAATACGTGGCGAAAGCCGAATCCTGCCCCCGCCTCCCATTCCTGGATAATTCTTCGAGGGCTACGTGGGTTTCATTTTAGAAGACGGCTGCACAGGGCAGGCCAGTTTCTTCTCCACGGCTCCTGGGCAGGCATTCCGGCAGCAATTCTTGTGAGCCTCCAGCGTGCCCCGCAAGCGATTTCCGACTCGTTCCCGATACGTTTGCCGGAAGCTTTTGCGCAGCTCCCTCGAAGTTCTGTTTAGCGAAGCTCCTGTTCTCAAGTCTGCAAGCTCTCCAGGCATCCTTTCCGGCGTCTTTGCAAGTGCCTGGTGCAAGGATGTCACGCGCTTTGCGCTGCGCCGCTAACCGGGTTTTGGACGCCACATGTCGGTTCAGGAGAACCGATGGTTGGTCGGGGTACTCCAGTTTTCGTAATAAAAGGGAGGGGGTCTGGACCCTCCAAGACAAGCCATTTCAGACCTCCCCCTGTGGGAGAACCCTCCAATTCATCGTCCCCAGACCCCCCAGGCCCTCCAAGATAGCCTGGAAGAGACCCCCCCCCGAAATGAGACTTCTCTTTTTTATTACGAAATCTGGAGTAGGGTTCGGATGTCGCCACACCAACGGAGGAACTGCTCCGGCTCCATGGCTGCTGGCAGGGCACCCCCACGCGGGCGACGGGCCCCGGCGAGTGTCGCAGTGACGCAAGCTGGTCCTGAGGGGAGCGGGCCCTGAGACTTCCCCCCATCGACCGTCGATGCCCTCGATGCCCTCGACGCCCTCGATCTTCGATGCCCTCGGTTCTCGACCCTCGTTGCCCTCGATCGTCGAGCCTCGACCCACCAGGGGTCCTCACCAGAAGCCACGCGCCGGGTGCGCGGCAGGTGCCGCACCCACGCCGCGCTGCGCCTGCTCCAAGAGCTCGCCCTCTCGCCCGCCAGCGCTGCGGAGGCGCTCGCCGCGGAGCCGCGGCTGCCGCAGTGGCTCGACGAGGCCCCCCACCTTTAACAGTCGAAGCCGATGATATGGATGGGCAACCTTCCCACGGGTCCATCCGTAGCCCCCTTCGATGGCCAGCCCCGATCGAAAGGCTTCGGCATGGGCGTCCAAGGGGCTTTGCATCCTTATCGTGCATCTTTATTCCCTACCTAGGCTCTGCCTAGAAGGGTTCTTACTTTATTAGCTTAAAGGGGCCGGGCAGTGGGGCTCGCCCCGGGCGGTTCCCCCGGCATCCGCCCCGCGGTTCCCCCAGTGACGTTCCTTTCGCTTCGCGTTGCTTATCTCATCTTAGCTTAGCTTATTTCATCTTAGCTTAGCTTAGCTTCATCTTAGATCAGGTTTATCTTAGCTTAGCTTACACTTTCGCCATACACGGCTTTTCGGCTTTCACAGCGTTGACGACGGTCCAAGACGCCCCCAAGACCGCCTCAAGACAGCCCAAGAGGCGCCCCAAAGGCAAGGCAATGCAAAGCAAACACAAAACCAATGCGACATTGTAGATGTAGATGTAGATGTAGGTGTGATGTAGGTGTAGATGTAGGTGTAGATGTAGATGTAGATGTGAGTCTCGCTGTTGATGATGATGTAGATGTAGATGCAGGTGTAGATGTAAATGTAGCTGTCGCTGTAGATATTGCTTTCCTAGATGCTCCAACTCCTAGGTAGGGTCGCACTGGGATGATTCACAGTTTTGATTGTGAAAAGAACATCTCGGAGATTCGCGCGGATCTCCGAATTGTTCTGCTTATGTCGTCGTATGGTTCTCTAGGAGAGTCGAGGAGAGAAACAAGATGACCAGTTTATCGGTGGGGGGCCAAGGGGGGAAGTGCGAGTCAGTATCGTTGAACCGATCCCCTTTCCCACCGGGTCGAGGTATCTCAGCCCCACCATCTCCCCTCTTCCTAGTTTAGGATATACCTTGCAAAGCCCGAAGGGAACAGCATGTATCCCCATCCTGGGAGGTAGGTCGGCCAGTGGGGCCACGCCTGTGGAGACAGGGATCTGGCAAACGATGCTCAGAGAGGGGGGGCATTCTCCAGGAAGCCGTCTGTGTCTCGGGAGAGGGCTTGGGAGAATTTCTCAGAAGCCCAACGGCTTTCGGAGTCTTCTGAGAAGGCCCGCCCCCTCTGACTTCCCCCTGGGCTCGCCGCCGAGTTTAGGCGCTGAAATAGGGACCATGTCTGTTCCGGAAGGGGCTCGCTGTTCCTTCGGCTCATCCATGGTTTTTCTACTAGCGCCCTTTGTGCATCGGGCGGCTCTCGGGGCTGCAGAGGGGCTTCGCTCTTGTCCGGCTGCCTGCGGCACGTCCCGCCGCCGTGCCATCCCAGCACCTTGGGTGGCGACTGTTCGGTGGGCGCACAGGTTGCCGTAACGTGTGAAACCTCGCGTCCCGAGGCTTAGAAGAGCCGTAACATGTGACATGTTTTTCTGCGTCGTGTTTCGGGGAGACAAACATGTCGCGGGATTTTGTCGACGCCAATCTTGGTCATGGTCCATGCCGATTCCATCCGATTCGCGAGGATGATCCAAGAGTTGACGACGACCGGGCTAGACGGTGACGAAGATCGACGTCACGTTTCCGCGTTCAGCCGTTGTCATGGTCCTCGTTTTCTGAAGCATCCTGGCAATTCCGGGGACGCGTCGGGATCCAGGCCTGGCTCAAAGGTTCGCCTCTGCAGGGGTAAATATTGGTACCATTACATTTCCCTTGTTTTCGCTTTTTCAGGCCTGCTGAGAGACCCTCGTCGCCGCGGCTGGATTCCCTTTGAAATTCTGGTCAGAACGCACCCTGGGAGAGGTCCAGGGAGCAGCGGTCGACGAAGAAGAACAAACTGCATAAACATAATGCTTCGGAGGTCCGAGCGGTTTTCTCGGATCGGCGGCGCTGAGACCCCCCCCCCACGGCGCTCCGCCTCCGCCGGCACCCCTGGCGCGCTCCGCGCTCCAGGGAGGGGGGAGCAACGCAGATCCAAGAAACCCGCGCGGACCTCCGAAACTTAATGCTTATGCAGTTGTTCTTCTCCTTCTTCTTCTTCTTCTTCTTCTTCTTCTAGTCGGGCTCCAGGCGCCTCTGATAGTGGGGAGAGGTCGTCCGCTCCCACTCCATCGGGGGCTCCGAGGCGGTGCGGTGACCACGCCGTGTGGTGCGCCAGTGGGGGGGTTCGGGGTGACCGCAGGGTTCTGGGACTTGGGTCCTTCTCCAGGGATGTCTCGAGCGACTGGAGCCTCCAAGGTCCCAAACGCGTGGGGTGACGGACCGTGCGGTGAGGTCTTTGGGGATTTCGAGGTCATCGCACGGTCTGTCACCGCACCTTCTGGGGACCCCCCGTCCTGGCCTGGCTCAGGAGCTCGCGTCTGACAGTGGAGGTAAGTCGGTCGCTCCCAATCCAGGCGTCGACATCTCGCCCTCGGCGGAGCTGGCGGAAGGCCCGCGGAAGCCGGCGGATGCAACACGAGGGCGGTTCTCCCCTTCTGGCGGAAGCGGGTGGAAGCTCGGCGGACGCCAGCGGACGTGAAGGCAGAGAGCCAGCAGGGGAGGTCCGTGCTCGCATATTCAGTGTTGCCAGATGGATGGGGCCGCGGATTTTCCGCGCGGCCGAGTTGGCCATCAATGCGTGGCCCGCTTATCCACAAATTGCTCGCCGCAAGTGCCAGTCCGTACGTAGGAGCTCCTGAGCATTTTCTGACAGTGCATGTTCCGAGGCTTCCGAGTGTGCACCAGGCAGTCCCCTGACTGTGCGCCATGTATTTCCAGTGCTTCGCCATCGATTGCTTTCATAGGTTTCTCTGTATAGAGCGTCCGCCGCTTGTTATTACAGGTGTAGCGAGGACGCCACTTGCGAGCCACCCCCGCCTCCCCTGTGGCCGAAACGCGGACCTTCTCCGGGGTTTCTTACATGCCACCTTCGTGCCCCTCGTGGCCTCGTGGGTGGTCGTCGAGCCTCTTTGGCATTGGCGACCTCTCTCCCTGGCCGTCTTGGGCTCTCCTTGGGGCCCTCTGGAGACTCCCGTTTGGGCAGTCTTGGAGGTCTCTTTGGGCACTCTTTGGCAGTTTTGGGGCACTCTCGGGCCTCCTTGTGGCCACCTTGGGTCTTGATGGGCACTCTCGAGCTGTCTGAGCTCCTCCAGGAGCTCTACTTTGTATCGCCTGTTATGTTGGTAGGCTGCAGGTTACGTGTAGGGAAGTGGAGGCTTTGCCATCGACATTTTGGGTCCGCAGTCGTTGGCCCGAGTTCGGGCCAGGGCTCGGGTGCCCCGGGGGGCCGCGGGGCGGCCAAAACCGCAGCGTCTTTGGCACCACCAGCCTCGGGGCGGGTGTGCGGATGTGCCTGCACCACTAGCCTTTCGGCGGGTGTGTGTGTGTGTGTGTCTGGTCGGCGATGCCATGGCCGTGGGCTCCCTCGGGGCGCGCGCTGTGACACTGGTGGTGGGCGGGATTTTCTCGGCCCAGGGGGCGAGGGGGTGGTGGCCTCTTGGGCCCGCGCTGGAGACGCAGCGCCCCCCGCGCCGGCGCCGCCGCCCAAGCCCGGGCCGAAACCTCAGCCCACGGGCGGGGTTGGGCATGGCAAGGGGCGAGGCTCGCCCGCCAAGCCTGCGCCGATGGGAGGAAAGGGGCGAGGGCCGCCGGCCAAACCCCCTTGGGGTCGCCACCACCACGACCACTACCATGACGACGACTGCTACCTCGACCGGCCCGAGCGCGACTACCACGGCGACCGCGACCTCCATGGACGCTGCCGCGGCTCCGTCCCCCCACGACCAGCCCGCCGCCGTCGGCAGCCAGCCGGGCGCGGGCGAGTTGGGCCCAGCGGCCAGCTCCGTGGGCGGCGCTGGAAGCAGGGAGACCGGGCCCTCGGTGGCCCAGCCAGAGGGTCCGCCACGCGACCCCCTCGTTGAGCGGAGCCGCGCGGCGGCCAGCTCCGGGGCAGGGGCTAGGAGCCGCGGGCGGGTTCACGACGCCCTTGGCCTCGCCCTGGTGGCCGTGTGCTGGCTTCTCGGCTGCATGGTGTTAGCAGAGCGCGAGCGTCGCCGTTTGGAGGCCGCGCTGGCCGAGACGAGCCGCAACCTGATGTACTGGGCGACTGAGGCGCTCGGCGCCAGCAGGGAGACGCTGGCCGGGACTCGTTCGCGGTGCGCCGCCCTGGAGCGGAGCAGCGGCAGCCAGCTCGCCGACGCTGAGGAGGCCCGGGTCAGGCTCTCACGGGCTACCGCGGGCGCCGAGGAGTGGCGCGGGGCCTTTTAGGAGAGGGAGCGGACGCGCCGCCGTGAGGAGGCATGGCGGCGGAGGGCTGACGCGCTTGCCGCCGAGGAGAAGATGGTGAAGATCGGGTGGAGCGTCGCGCGGATCTCCGCCAACGCAACCACGACCGTCGAGATCCTGCAGGTACGCGTCGGCGAACTCGAGACCGCGGCGGAGGCTGAGGGCGAGGCAGGAGGCCCGCCAGCTGCCTTCGAGCCCGCGACGTGGTCGAGCCCGCGGACGGGTTTAGCCGTGCAGAGTGGTCTCCCAGGGTCGAGAGCTCGGGGCCCAAGAGGAGGAGGGGGTGGAGGAGTAACCTCGGCAGGAGGAGGCAGAGGAGGACCCCGCCCCCTGGGGAGGTGAACAGCCTGACGACGCCCGAGGCCGGCGCCTGGGCCAGACCGCTCGTGCACGAGCGGGGGCTCGTGGACCAGGGAAGGATCGTTGGAGACGTCGTTCGGCTCCGGAGGAGGAGGAGGAGGAGGAGGAGGAGGAGGGAGGAGGAGGAGGAGGAGGAGGAGGAGGAGGAGGAGGAGGAGGAGGAGGAGGAGGAGGAGGAGGAGGAGGAGGAGGAGAGGCGGAGGAGGACCCCACCGCAGGAGCGGGAGGCTATCGAAAGCGATCGCTGTCACGAGACGCCGGGCGTCCAGGCTGAGGAGGACGAGGAGAACGCGGAGACGATGGCGGCTGCAGCAGAGGAGGAGAAGGCAGAGGAGGCCGAAGAGGTATGCGCCTACGCGGGCACCTGCGCCAGCTCCTGCACCAGTACCTGCGCCACCTCCGACGCCAGCGCTGCCAGGACCCCCGACTCCGATTCGGACGCCAGCGCCTATGCCTACGCCGGCCCCGTTGCCAAGGCGGAGGAGGACGAAGAACCCGACGCCGATTCAGACGCCAGCGCCTATGCCTAAGCCGGCACCGCTGCCAAGGCGGAGGAGGACGAGGAAGAGGAGGAGGGTGCGGAGCGCGCCCGCGCCGGCGCCAACGCCGGCGCCTCCGCCAGCGCCAACGCCAGCACCGACGCCGGCGTTGTCGGCACCTCCGACGCCAGCGCGGGTGCCAGGGCTAGCGCTTGCTCCAGCCCTGCCGAGGCGGACGAAGGCGTGGGCGCCTGCGGCGGCCTCGCCGTCAGCACGCGCGCCAGCGTCTGCGCCGGTTTCGCCTTCGGCGGCCGCGCCCCCGCCGCCGCCGGCGCAGGGCCAACGACCGCCCGGTCACATCACCCTCCTCCTGGGGGAGGGAACGCCGTTGCCGGCGCCGCCGCGAAGCCTAGCTGCGAGGGATCCAGCCATAGGGGCGAGGTCCCAGCGGCGACGGCTATACCGACGCCGCCCTTGACGGGCGCTTGCGGCACCCCCAGGAAGGCAGCCGCCGCGGCCGACATCGCCGCCGGGCCCATCCCTCGGGGCGGGTGCCGGGCGACGGCTACGCGCTGGCATTTGGCTGGCGGCCGCTGGCGGAAGGCCTCGGGGGGCGTGCGGACTGACGCGGGGATCCGGCCCCGCTTGAGACGTCGGCTACCCGTGCCTGCGGTCATCGGCCCGCTTTTGCAGGGTGCGCTGGTGCCTGCTCCTCCCCCTGCTCCTCCGCCTCCTCATCCTCCGCCTCCTTCCTCCTCCCTCCTCCTCCCCCGCCGCCGCCCCCCCCGCCAGCCAGGTGCCACGTCCCTCCGACCGTGGATCGTGTGCTGGATAGGGGAAGGGAGCATGGCTGGGCGTGGGGGGAGATGGGCAAAACAACATGCATGACCGCCGGTGCCGCACGTGCTTCCAGCTGCCGCCTGCTGGACTGTCGGTAGGGCGGAGCCTGGCCCCAGCCGCGAACAGAGCCAGCATGCCCCAGGATGCGCTCACAGAGGCGCGCACGTCCCCTGCGTTGCGAGCCGTCCGCCGCTCCCGAGAGAGGTCGCTCCAGGGAGCCATACGGGGAGCCTGCGCCCGCGAGGGCCGTGCGCTCCAGGACAAAAGAGCGATGTGCCAGCACGTTTGGCAGAAACCCTCCCTCCCTGGTGAGGCTGAGATAATCGTGCGCGGTGGTCCTTCGCCGTCCCGTCTCTATTTCCACATGCAGGGCGCGAAGATATTTAGCCCCCCCTCAGTAACGAAGGCTGGACCAGCCATATTGGGCTCAGCGATTGTCGTTGCGATTGAGTTGCGCAGCCAATCGTGCGGCCAGGGAGAGACCGTTCACCTTCCGAGGACCTTCCTGCCGTGCTTGCACTGCATGCGCTGTCATTGCGCATTTATGCTTACTGCTGCCATGCTGCTGCTGCTGCTGCTGCTGCAGTTCAGAGTTCAGCCCGCTGGGCTCATTTTCCGTGCCCGTGCAGGCCACCTCCCCCTCTCTCCTCGAGTGCAGTTCTCACAAGACCTTGGCGCCCGATCTGACCGCTGGCTGAATACCAGTTGCTGCCAGATGCGGGGGAGGGATTGGAGCTAGAGGATTTTGGCCGGGGGGGATCGGATTCTCACAAGACCTTGGCGCCCGTTCTGACCGCTGGCTGAACACCAGTTGCTGCCAGATGGTTGATTGTTGGCCTCTCCTGACAGGCCGCGATCCTCATCAGGGTCGCAATCCAAAAAATATCCTCCCCCTCCTCCTCCTCCTCCTCCTCCTCCTCCTCCTCCTTCTCCTCCTCCTCCTCCTCCTCCTCCTCCTCCTCCTCCTCCTCCCTCTCCCTCCCTCCCTCCCTCCCTGCCTCCCTCCCTTCTCCCTCCTGCTCCTCCTGCTCCTCTTTCCTCCCTCCTCCGTTCTTCCTGCTCCTCCTCCTACTCCTTCCCCTCCCCCCCTTTCCTCTTCGCCCCCCTCCCTCCTCTCCCCTCCTCTCCGCCTCCCTGCCCCCGCGCGCGCGAGCCCAGGCCTGCCTCTTCGAGCACCGCGAGGACGCCCGCGCCACTGCGGCGGTGCGCGGCAGAGCCTCGGCGCTCCGCGCCGCGCTGCGCGGCGCCGCTCCCCAGCGGGGCGCGCGCCTGGCGTCCACGGACGCGCTGGTGGCGGGGATGGCGCCCGCCGCTCGGGGGGGCACCGGAACATTCGATGCTCGTTTCGGGGACCTTCCTGGAGCCCACCTAACGGATCTGTTCGACCCCAGTTCGACTCAAGTTCGACTCAAGTTCGACTCAGGTTCGACTCAGGTTCGACTCAGGTTCGACTCAGGGTCGACCCAAATCGACTGGCGTTCGACGCAGCTTCGACGCACGAGTGGAGCGAGTGGCTCCAGGAAGGTCCCCAGAACGAGCTTCCAAGGAACATGGCTCGTGTCGATTCTTTCGGCCAAACCGAATGCGATCTCGATCGATGTGTGTCCGATGACGGTTCGAACTCGGCCTCGGGTTCCGATCCGGACATCTCGGCCTCTCAGCGGAGGCTCCAATTTCTGGCCTGCCGATTCCCGCCGATCCGACCTGGCTTGTCTGCCGATGTCCGCCGATCTGATTCATTTCCATCGCCGCTCGGCCCGCCGGGGATGGCGCCCGCCGCTCGGGGGGAGCGAAACGGGTGCGGGAACAAGGGGCACGATGCGGTAGCAAACCATGGGGGCCTGGTGCACCCTCGTTCAGCCACGCGCCAAAGGGGGGTGTGGGAAGGTGGAAAGGGGAAGGTGGAAAGCTTGTTCGAAGTCCCCTGCTTCTTAGAAGGCACTGGCCTTGTCTGTAGATGCAGGCTGGCGCCTTCTAAGAAGCGGCTTCCTCCTAAGAATCCTCCCCCCCCCCTGCCACCATCTGCGCGCCGCCAACTCGGAATTCCGTTTTTGTAGTTTACTCGCGTCGACTAGCGTGCGCCTGGTAATCGATGAGTTGGCGCCGATTTAGCGTCGATCGGCGTCGATTGAACCCAGAATACCGTCGATCCGCAAAAGCCAAAACGATGGTATGGGACGCTCCCATGGGTTGCCACCGAAAGTACGAATGCCAACACCGGTTTTTCCCCATTTTGAACAGGAAATGCTGTCGGCGTCACCGCGGACGTTGTCCGTGTAAGACTAAAGGTCGTCTGCCCAACAGTGCCCGCGGTCGGTTTCGGGCAACACTTGTTGTTGGTTTTCCGTGCCGATTTCGGGCGTCCAAGCCGCATGGCGTACCCGCGCCCGATTCGGAGTTCCCCTCATATGTTTCGTGGCCCTATAGGGGATTCCACCGAAGGCCCCAGCGGCAGGGTCCGCATGGCGTACCCGCGCCCGATTCGGCACACCCCTCACACGTTTCGTTGCCCCATAGGGAACCCCACCGAAGGCCCCAGCGGCACGGACCGCATGGCGCACTCGCACCCGATTCGGCACACCCCTCACACCTTGCCAGAATATCACACAGATTTTCGCGGGCATTTGTGGCCAGGGTTTATGTGGAGGTCGAGCATACACTTGAGTGTTGCCCCCGCTGACTGTGTCATTGGATCAGCAACGTGCATTGCGTGCGTGCTCCACCATGCGTTTCTTGACGCTCACTGCCACATGTTTATGAACAAGTGCTGTTGGCAGAGCCCTCTCAGCAAGTCGTGTGGCAGCCGTTCGTGAAACAATGGCGGTTTGAAAGCCCTTCCTTGCAGCTGTCCTGTGTTGGGGTGCGGTCATCACAGAGCCCCAACCCAATCTCGCACCGTGGGTTCTTGTGCGGTCTGCGCATGTGGACCAACGAGGGCGCGACGGACCGGTTTGAGCACGCGACTCGAACGGTACCTGCTCTGCCCATTTCACCCCTTCCTTGTCTGGGCCCGCCGCTGTACTGGCTCAAGCCAGTACTGCGCTCGTGTCCGCCTTCTTTTCGCGTCCTACCACTTCCCTACCTTTCATTCCATCCACTGGAGAAAGACCCGCGTTCATATTCACGCCTTACATCCATTTCCCCAGTCCCCTCCCTGCCACCCCCTCCCCAAGGTCAGGGCCCCAGAAGACTTTTTCGAGGTTTCTTTTCACGGTAGATGTAAAGCCCGAGGGTACCCGGTTGTCCTGTCAGTCTCCACGGGCTGTCTTGTGTTATCTTGTTCATCTGGGTAGGACCCGAGGACATTTGCTTATCCTGCTTGCCCCCCAAAAGGTGCGCGTGCACCGGGACGACGCCTCCACGGAGTCTGGTTCATCCGGCCCGGAGCAGGGCGCCCATGGCGGTGCCGCGAGTCCAAGCGGCGAGCACGGGCGCGGCGAGCCACCGCCAGCGCCGCCAGGAGCCGCTGTCGTGTCGTCGTTCGTTCGTCGTTGGTTCGTTCGGTCGGTCGGTCGGTCGGTCGGTCTGTCGTCGTCGTCGTCGTCGTTCGTCGTTTGTGGTCGTTGTTCGTCGTCGTCGTCGGCCGTCGTCGTCGTCGTTGTTGTTCGTTCGTTCGTTCGTTAGTTCGGTCGGTCGTTCATTCGTTCGTTCGGCCGTCGTCGTCGTCAGCGGTCGTCGGCCGTCGTCATTGTTCGTTTTCTTTCGTCGTTCGTTCGTGGCTCGCCGCCGTGGTTGGTCTTTCGTCGTTCGTCTGTCGTCGCCGTGGAATTGTTCCTCGTCGTCGTCCGTCGCAGTGCGTCGTCGAATCCTCCTCCACCATCCTCGCCTCCGAGGATGGGGAGGAGAGCAGGCGTGACAGGAGGCAGGAGGGAGCGGAAGGGTGGGGGACAAGCTAGGTGCGCTCGCGTCATATCTGACGTCCTACCCCTCCCTCCCATCCCTTACCATGGCGCTGTTTTTCTCTATCCGCGGACGCGTGTCGTAGCGGACCTGTGGCTCCGCGCGCGCGTGCGTAGTGGGTGGTGGTGCGCGTGCGTGCGTGCGTGCGTGTGTGCGTGGTTGTGGTGGTGGTGGTGGTGCTGGTGCTGGTGGTGCTGGTGGTGCTGGTGGTGGTGGTGGTGGTGCTGGTGGTGGTGGTGGTGGTGGTGGTGCGGCGCGGTGGTGGCGGGCGGATGGGTGCGCGAGAAAGAGGCCCGCGCTGGGGCGAGAACGCCGTCCTGAACGACGGAGGCCAAACGCCGATCCGAAAATGAGGCCCACGTTGCAGCGGGAGCACGATTCGGAACGATTCGGGAGCAGAAATGAGGCCGGCGCCTCAGCGAGAGCAGCATTAAAACAAAACACAAGCGAAAACCCCTTTCCCGGGAATCCTGTGTGCAAAAAATCAATACGCGGGGGGGTGTCGGATATCCTCGGGACGCCATCAGGGGAAGTGGGAGAATATTTTCATATTGTGTAATTGTGGAGGAGTAAGGTGAGGAGGTGGAAGAGGGAGGAGGAGCAGGAGGAGGAATATGAGGATGATGTTGAGGATGATGATAACGATGAGGATGATGGTGATGATGATGATGGTGATATTGATGATGCTGATGAAGATGTTGATGTTGATGATGCTGATGGTGATGATGATGATGATGATGATGATGATGATGATGATGATGGTGGTGGTGGTGGTGATGATGATGACGGTGATGATGGTGATGGTGAGGAGGAGGGGGAGGAGGATGATGATGAGGAGGAGGAATGGGAAGTGGAGGAGGATCAGGAGAAGCAGGAGGAAGGGGAGGAGGATGAGGAGGAGGAAGGCGTTTGGCCGAGGTCGCAGGGAGGGAAAGGACGCTCCCCCCCGCCACGGCCGGGCAGCGCCCAGCGCGGCGCCATACGCCCGCAAACAAATACACTGTATACGTGCTGTGCTACATCTACAGCGCTCTGATCATCAAGTACCCCCTGCACCTGAACAGCAATGCTGACCTGCACAAGCTCCCCCAGTACTTCCTCATCCACCCGAACTACAAAGTCACAACGTCTTCAGTCCAGATGACCTCCCCACGGCCACGGTCGCCTGCCTGGCACCGTCGCCTGCGCCGCGAGGGTGCCGACGCACGCGTGCTCCTCAGACTCGACCGAGCACGACAACGACTCTCCAACCACCACAGCTCTCAGCAGCCAGCGCGACTACCCGACACCACCATGGCGCCAAAGATGGCCCAGACTCCAGTCGGTAGCTACTACAACAAGAGCTGGCACGAACAGCAGCACCAACGCCGATACCAGCAACATCAAGAGGACACCACGGGAGCCTCGCGGACACAGTGGCGCGCCCGCAGCCGTGACGACACCGGCGGCGCAGGCAGCAGTAGCTCCATGGGACAGCATCACCAGCAGAACGCACAGAAGCAACAACAGCACAGCCTCAACGTGCAACGCTGACAAAAGAAGAGAAACAGACAGCTGTTAACGTCGTTCCCATGACCCTTACTGAAGCCAGAAGGCAGCAGCGAAGGAACGAGCCGCCTCCAATGCACCGCTTCGACAGAGTCAAGGAATACCGCAATAACTGCACATCCGACACCGGCTATCTCATCGCAGCCATCCAGCGGCACGCCAACGACGACTACGACTTCGAAGACGTCGTCACCAAGATCCGCCTACAGAAGTCCATGCTGCTATAGTCATTCGACGCCAAGGACCAGCGAAGAAAAGTCCAGAGCGCGATCAACGACGCAGTTACACATATGGACGACTCATAACAACAGCTGGAGGAGCTCCAGCGAAAGGCTGCAGTTCTGGGTGACCGACATCGCCAACTTCGACGACTTCACGACAGCATCAGGGGGGGGGACTCCGATGGCGATGCGGACGCCGAGTCAGCAACGCCGCCCAGGAGACGAACATAAACCCAACATTCCGACGCTCCTGCTCCCAATATTGGAAGACGCCGCCGAGGATGCCTCGGGTGCGCGTCACCGGCGCCCTCGGCGACTCAAACACCCGCGGAGTCCTCCATCGTCAACAATCCACGACAAGAACTACAGGAAGCACAGCAAGAATCCGAATCGCAGCGATGCCAGGCCGCGCACCAAAAAGTAGTCATCAACCAGCTCGAAGAAGGGGAAACATTCTACTGCAAGAACGAAAAGGACAACTACCGCAGGATGCAGCGCTACGAGAAGGACCAGATGGAGGAGCACAAGAAGGACATGCATACCAGCAGGAACGCGACCGAGAAGAGTGCAGAGCACAGCGCCCGCAATAATGAGCAATATAGCAACGCTATCGAGAACCTCGAGAGCGAGCGCCGCGAGACCAACGACCCCGCGCGCCAGGCCGTGGACAAAGAACCGCAACATCTCCTAGGAGTCGAGACAATGCCGCGAGAACTGCGAGGAGACGGACACCACCGGCGAGCATGTGCAAAAACTTTCGAAGATGCACGATAACAAATGCATCGGCCCCGGCAGCCGCGAGTTCTAGACGCGGTCATCAAGTGCAACAAACTCGAGAAGAGCTTAGAGGAGAAGGGCGAAACCATGCAGCCCCTTGAGCACCGACAACACTGCAGTAGCATCAACGACTTCCAGCAGACGAGAAATGCAGCCCGTGAGTTTCGCGACCAGCAGCATCCGCAACATCAGCTTCGACAAGAATTTGCGGCAGCGGAAGCCGAGGGCGAGAACGTCGAGGGCCGGGCGCGCGAGCGCATCCGGCACAATTGCAACCTCTCAGAGCAAGGGGCGAGACACCTCGTGAACGAGTTCTACGGACAACATCAGGCCATGCACGTCGAAGAGAAGCAATGCCGAAACAAGACCGAGACCCCCACCTACTGGAGGGGCGAATGGAGGACATGCAGAATTACATCGCCCAGCTCCGCCAGCGCAAAGAGGCTTGCGCGGCGGCGGCGGAGCTACGAGCGGAGCGCGCGCGCAACGAGCAACGCCAGCTAAACGCCGCTGAGATATCCATGGAAACGCAGGGGCAGCTTCTCCGACAGCTACGCAACGAGCAACAGGTCGCTGAAACTCAAATGCAGCAACGAGCAAGACATCTGGAGGACGCCCACTCAGAGATCCACGCCATGATGAAGGAGCGGGAAGCAGACTTCGTCAACGACCTCGCTAACCAACTCACGAACGACGACTTGCGGCCCGTCGACGCACTCCGTCAGGCGCCGCAAGGAACAGGGCAACAACATATCGGCCAAGAAGCTCGGCTCATAGCCGCCCCCGACTCCGAGATCTCCGACGTCGAGGACCGCGGCGCCCAGACCCAACGGGGCGATTAGGAGCGGGGGAAGGGCGTCCTCGACATCGCAAAGGCGGCGTCTGAAGACGAGCCCCCAGACACTATGCCAGAGGATGAAGGGGCTTCAACCCCGCGACAGGAGCAGGGCGAATAACAAATGCCACCGCAGGTTCAACCGCGGGGGCCAGCTCCCACCCTGCCATGGAACGACGACTTACTGCATCAGTTGCACGGAGAAGTTTCGCATCCAACGCAGCGGCTTCGAAGGGGGCAACGTCCGACGCCGATGGCAGACGAACGGGGGCTGCGAGACTAACCAAAGGGAAGAGCTGGAACTACACCATGTACACCGCCAAGAATGGCAGCCATGCCGCCCGCGGAGCGCATGGCACCCGCCGGCCTCCGACCAGCGCCGAATTTCCACGTCGGCACGCCGCCGAACAGATCAACATCACTGACGCCGAGATCCCCTGACCACCCACCAGAAGCAGTGCGCGTGCCACCGCGAGCGCGCAGAACTAGGCCGACCGCAATCAGCGCCGCGACGTTTCGCACGCTGCGCCGCGGACAACGGCGGGGGCGCAGCGGCGTCGGCGGGGGCGCCAGCGACAGGGCCCCAAAAGCTGAAGAAAAAATCACGGCGGCGTTGGGGGCGCCTCCGTCCACGGGGCCAATGGTGCCGACATGGCGACAGCCAGTAGACTAAGCGACAACCCGCCAGGCGTGTCAACGCCGCGGCGCGTCGCGCATGTTACGCGCGGCTTGACCGCGGCCAAGCGTTCCAGAACCAGACGCGCACGACCCAATGCGCGATCCCGTTTCCAACGCCGAACTGGAATTCAACGAGCAGCATTTCTTCTTTTCCAGCGTCGCACAGATGCACTGACTCGGGCAAACCCTGCAGCAGCGCAGTGAATGCGCGCGCCAGCAGGGAAGCCCAGACAACGCCAGCAGCAGCTAACCTCCAGGTGGATGGAGATAGCACAGCAAGCCTGCTGGTTGAGAGGGGCGGCGGGGCAGCCGCGGACTTCGCCGCGCTTGTTTCGCTTGTTTCGACCAGATGCGACCCGCCGCTCAACGACAGCTCTGGCCCCGTGCGAGGCGACCTGGGCAACTGCGGCGCGGGGGCGACATCTGCAGGCCGACGCGCCCCCCCCCCCCCCCCCCCCTAAGGTGCGCAGCAAAGGAATTTTGCAGTTGCAGTTCCTTGCCTCCCGACGGAGCCGACGGCGGCCGCCCTGAGGCAAATGCCCCCGCCCTTTTTCCGGCAACGGCGTGACCTCGCCAACGTGCCCGACCTCCACCCTGCAGCTGCAATGGCCCATGATCTGCGCCCGCCTCGGCGCCATCATCAGGTCAGAAGATTGCGCCCATGCGCAGACGGCGCGCGTCGGCGCGACTCGACCCAAGACGCATGGGCCCTGGTTATCGCCGCTGAAGACGAACAAGGCTTCACATGCCGGGGGGGCATTGGAGCGCGCGACAACATCTCACTCACGGGCGACGGCTCTCCCTGCAACCATGCCGCGTCAGAAGTGGCCGCTCTGATATCGGCGCGCGCGCGTGGGTGCGCGCGCACATCCGAGGCGCCGCCGAGGGGCCCGGCGTCGCTATGCGCGCCGACCCCGCGATTGCCAGGGAATTCGCAAAGGGCAATTTCCAGCCCGAGAAACCCAACCAGATGCCTGACCTAGCACGCATGCCACGCGACCTTGCGCCCGGGGCGGTAAACCTGAACGCTGGCCGCGAACGAGCGCGCGCGGGGCACCCCTGGAATGAGCTTGCCGACGGCCTGGCCAATGCGCGCGCAGCCCCGCCCAGCAACCTCCAGCAGTGCCCGCGAGAAGAATGGGCAAGAGCTTTTCACGCCGACAGAGAACGACAATGGGAATGGCCACCAGAGGCGGGCGCCGATGCCAGGAGCGCCTGCCCGAAGATGAACCAGCAAGGATTGGGGGCGCCGCCTGTTAAGAACGCTCGACCAGTACACGTCATGCCTCAGCGTAACAAGACTTCCAACGACATGCAGATCGACATTCGCATTTGCGCCTTCAGCGCGCGCCCCTTCCAGATGCCAGAGAGGCAGGGGCGTTGCAAAAAGAGAAACACAGCAAGACTCACTGTTATCCGACAGCAGCTCTCCGACATCAAAGTGCACGTCATCGGGGGTGCAGGAGTCGAGACTACCGCGCGGAGCGCATGCCGCCGACCAAGGCGCCGCCATCTCGAGTGGACACGACAAACGTAACTTTGGGTGCTCACTACTAATCAACGCAGACCTACCTCACCAGGGCGACAAAGGACGACAACTCTATTTCAAACCCAACCGATGGAGAATAATGACCCAGAACCCCAGACTACTACTTGGCAAGTTCACAGCGTCTGGGTTCCAGAACCATCGTGGTCGCTCGCGCGCCGCGTCCGCGTGCTCGCGACCTTGAGCGCAACCTGTACTGGGGCAACATCGGCGCGGGGACCGAAAAGCACAACGGCGACGTCATCCTCACCGACGCCACCGGCACCGCCGGAAGCATCATCTCCTCTCGCATTGGTGATGAAGGACAACCAGAGGAAGAGGAGAGAGGAGGACAATGCTTCCACGCCTACTTGCAGGACCACAGCCTCTTCGCCGCCAGCGCTATCATCGAAGCGAGTGGACGCAGTCGCGCATGTGTGGGGAAGAATATACAGCAGCGCATTGACTACATATGCATACAATGTGGACAAGAAAACACCGTCAAATACCTTGAGGTCCTCGACGACTTCGACACCCACCGAGAAGACGAATGCCATTGCCCGATCATCGCCGACCTGACCTACGTCGAGAAGACCAACGTCAATACATGCGGGGTGCAACTGGACCGTGCAAGACATCGCAGCGATGCCATTCCCACCGTGCGAGGATGAGATGAATAACCGCGCCAGCTACCTTCCACAACAAGTACGCGAGGCCGGCAGAAAGGCTTTGAAACCTGACAAGATCCACCCCAGGAAGCCGCACTTACAACCAACGCTATTCGCCCTCGTCCGAGTGAGAGGAGCGTGCCAACGGCCGCTACGACGACTGCGACAAAATGGCGAGAACGACGAGGATCGGCCTGATCAGCCTGGCCTTCCAGATCCATGAAGCCCGCGTGCCCGCCGCCAGTGCGTGCGAGGCCATGGCGAACCCAGAGACGATGCTAGCGCTCCAACGAGTAGCCGACGACATAGTGCACAACGACGCCCAACTCGAGGATGTTGCATTAGCAGCGACTGCATTTCTCCGAGGATCATCACTTCAGCCAGCAACCGCTATCGAGACTGACCGCTCCAACTACTTCGCGCGCATCGCCGACGGTGCAGAGGGGGCCTACATCTACAACGACTCCAGGAGAGCATGGGCGGACATCGAGAGGCCTTTGATTCGGAAGACCAGGGCGCATCG